TTATATATTTAATATTAAAATTAAAATTTAAAATAAATAAATATAATTACAATTAAAATTTTAAACATTTGCATATATATATATATTCTAAACAATTTAATAAATTATAACAACACATTAAATAATATCACAATTACAATGAAATAAATAAAATAATAATATACAAAAAAATAGATAAAGTAAGGTTAGTTATGTTACATGTATAATCCTAACTATATTGAAATAATTGAATTGTATACAGTGCCATCTGTAACATTAAACCATTTAATACAGTCAAAATAATATTCAATTAATAATTTTTAATATTCACTTTAAAAATTTCTGGTACTATAAATTAGACAAAATAATATAAAAATTTACTGTATATATATATATATATATATATATATATACAGTAAAGAGCATAACTGAACCAATAAAATCACTAGTTTTGTATAAATCTTTATTTATTGCTAAGAATATAAATGAATATTAAAAAAATGAACATTTTATAGTAAATTTTATTTCAGTTAAATAGTAGTCATCGCAAAAATTTTTATATAATAAAAAAAAAAAAAATTTTGTTAACAATAAAAAAGTTAGTTAGACAAACGTATATAAATTGTTGTCTCTGTTAAATTTGCACAAATGAAGGACGGAAGAATAAAACTGCGATAGTAGTAGTACATTTTACTATACCGTTTAATTACGATCTAATTTCATTAGCAGTAAGATTCTTAAAATATAACGGAGTATTAGATACAAGTCCCACTACTGTATATTATATAGCATTGTAAAAACATCCGGGACGACGGTACACACACGTTTCTATGTGCCAGAAAAATTCAACGCGCTTTCTTTTGTAGAAAATGTAACAGAAGTAAATGTAATACGAGTTTTGCTCATTTCGAAAGTTAATTTCTCTCGATATACGAAACCAATAAGAAAGATTTTAACAAATACAATTTACTTTTCAATCGATGTTTAATAATAATAATAATAATAATCGATATATTAACTTTTTATTGTGTTATTAAATTGCATTAATCGATAAAATTATATTAATATTAATGAGATACTTTTTTTTTGTTTTTTTTTTTTTTTTTTATTAATATTTTATAAAATATTTCTGTTGGATTTATTCAATATAATATCAAATTGCATTTATTTAACTAACTAATACTTATTATTTATATTATTACTCATACTTATTATTTATATTACTAAAACTATATATATATATATATATATATATATATATATACATAATATAAATAAATATATATATAT